TATCCCAGGTTTCAGACTTGTACAAGTAACAAGTTCTGGCTTAAAACTCTCATTAGAAAGATTTGAAATAATCAATGATGTGATGATGACTAAGTGATATAAGATTTAAAAATAAGTGAAATGTGTGAAGCTGGATCTATGATCCTTTTAAAAACGGCTAATCAAAAACAGACCAATCAATAATTGCTTCATCAAAAAAAAGTTTCAGCTCTCCTCTGATTAATTTAAATACATTAGTATACAAAACAATAAACTTCTTAAAAATTACATCTTGTCCAACTCCAAGTAGCTATAAACAGCCTTGGCCTAGATAAAGCACGTTCTTGGCCAAATTATAAAACAGAATCAAAGAGTAAGTTTGATGCCAAATTCTGCTTTGGACTAATTTCAGTCAACTTTCAGGGAAGCAAAAATGGAGATCTTAAAAAAAAAAGAAGAAAGTTCATGTCAGTGCTTCAAGCTTTTGCAGCAGAGCTGTAGATGTGGATTTCTTATCCGAAACCCAACTGGCATGTAAAAACTTATCAGAGCTGACGCACACTGAGGCAATGGGCTTTATCTATGCAAGGTGTAAACCATAAGCCGTGATTTAAGTTTCTCCAAAAGGGAATTGCTGAAAAAACAACATTCTCTGGTGTGAAGAGCTGAAAACACACCTTCCACTTTGACACTTAACATTTTCTCTACAAGCTTTCATTGTTAGAGTATCACTGCCAATATAGAGGAATTTCAGTCAGAGTAATGGGTTGTTAGAGAATGTGATAATTAGAACTCTGTTTCATTAACCTCTTAATTACCTCTTACCACAAAAGCTATGGTGTGACATCTGTTGCTTTAGCAGATGTCTGGGTACATGCAGGTGCTTTGCATTTTCAAAATTTCTTGATGAATGGGGCTCAAAGCTTCTTTTAAATGGCATTCATACATAGTTGACAATAGTTAATAACAATAATTATCCAATTAAGTTTGAAAAAATAGACATATAATATGAAATGTTTGACATGAGTGTTTTAAATTGAAAGAGCCACACTGTTCTCGGATAGCATTACCATTCTGTTGCTGCAGGCCCCGGGGGGGAACTCATGTTAATGGAACATTTCACATAAAGAGCGTTACAGGACCAATGTTCTCCTTTAACGTCTTTCTTTCGGTGCTTGAGATCTAAATGAGTCCCACACTCAGGCTTGACATATCGCAGGTCCACCCTGAACCTTGATGTATTAGAAATTGGCCCCCTGGGTCTCGTCCTAGAAAACATCCTGCGGAAGATGGTCGCAGAGAAGCGGTTTTCTCATCAGCTGTCCTCTCCCTCAGGTTTTATCTGCGACTCTTCATCACATTCTTCCTCTGTCCCCCAGGGAAGGATAAATCTTCGTTCTAAATAATTGAGTAACTTCAAATTTGTCCTTTTCTCTTTCTTTATCCAATAAGGTGACCTGCAGTGGGCCACCATGAAAAATTAATGAGGGAGTTCCATGAATTATTAATCGATACTTAATTACAACCCCCCGAAATGAACAAAGACCTGACAGGATATTGATGGTGTTTTGACTGCGGACATCAAGAGTTGGAATTGTTATGGACGAGGTTTGAATTGGATCTATTACATCTGTCTGACCTGTGTCAGCAGGGTGAGGAGTGGGGGCGATACTGCCGTGAGGTTTACATCAGGCACATAAATGGTGGCAGAGCAACAAATATGTCAAGGTGACACTCACTGCCTGGGTTTTTTAATGGAGGTGTGAGTCACATCCTGATCTTCAACAGTTCTAATCAATTACTCATGTAAATTGATTATCAAGTCAAACATGTTTCCAGCTTTTTCAATATGAGGTCTTGTTTACTCTCTATTTACAACAGCTACGCAGGATTGAATCATGGCATCAAATCCTCCATATTTATGTTGATCATTTCAGAATCAGCAGATGTTTATTCATACATACATGTTGTGATGGTAGCAGTGACTGGCTGACTTCGACCCTGATCTCGGAGCGCCACCAAGTTGATGGTATACTCCTCCCCCGGTCTCAGACCAGTCTGCACCAAGGAAGTGATGGTGCTGGGCAGCTGTGCCGTCATCCCTCCATCATTGTCCTGGGAAACAGACAAACAGAGGCGATGTGATGAGAATCTGGCAGAAAATTTAAAAAACATCCTAACCAGTAAGACTTAAAGATAGGGTTGGTAATCCTAAATCCTTAGCAAGAGCAGGGGCAGGTTATTTACTGACAGACAGGTACACGTCATTTAAACCCTAATTAAATAATTGGCAACATACACCAGCTTTGTATTTTTCAGACAACTTTGCTTATTCATGACTATTTGGATGTGAGGAGGATTTCAATAAACAAAATAAAACAAATTACCAATCCTACCTTTAAATATTGACTTATGTGAATGATTTCCGTGCAGTCAATTTTCTTACCACTATACTGAGATCTTTTCTTTTCATTTATTTGTGAGCTTCTGGATGGTTTAGCACATTAACTTCCCAAACCATGTTACTTGGCGAAAAAGAGTTATGTGCACCACAGTGATATTTGTCTCTTCTGCAGAGGCAGCACTCTGTACACTTCCAAAGACCTGTCACTCATCCATATGGAGCCCTCGCTATTCCCAGCTGTTCTCAGAGAGCCAGTGTTGCACATGCACTTCCTGCCAACAGACAGATGTTACACCCACTGCTGCTCCGAGGTCCCCAAAGGCCTGCGCCACCAAGGCTCATATTAAAAGAGAATATATAGCAGCTTGCTACTTCCCTGATTCAGATCTGTGATTAGAGATGTACCGTTTAATCAGCTCAACTAAATTACCAGGCTGGGCAGCAACACACAACGCTAATGATCCAATAACAAGTGGTTTTCAATCTCAATAACAATACCGTTAAATGAAGGTAATGCTAAATTATAATAAAATGAATCACCATGACTGTACATCCTACTCACATCTCCTGTGTCGGTTTGCTCATAATTGTTCATCAGTCTCGCCACTGACAGCTCCCTTAGATAAGCAATTACAAATCATCTTGTGGAGGTATTTCTATTACTTTGATTTCATTGTGCCTGAGGATAAATGAAGAATTTTTTGACCGGTATATATCAGCATATATTGGTCACTGGTTAATTAAGTTTTTCCAAGTGTATCAAAAAGGGGTGAGAGGTGATCTGAATAATTCTTATAATATTATTTGATTTAAAATGTGTTGTTGCAATGGTCTCTTTATAACTGAAATAAGGAAATGCAGCACATTTCTTATAATTACTTTGTATTTACAGACATATTAAATGAATAAATAATGAGCACATCATTTTATGTGTGAAAATGTGAAAGAGAACATTTTGAAAAAGTAATGGGGAAGATCAAAGTGTTCCCCAGCGGACAAAAACATTAACTGTGCAGAGAACGTCTGTGGATTATTCAGAGCAATGGGGACAATGTTTGTGGGAAAATACATCACTGTTGACTTTTTAAGGTAATTAAAAAAGTAATGATATCTATTGCAAGAATCCCCAAATATGATATTGGAAGACATTTTGGTTCTGGTGCTGCAAACGCTGGCTGCATGGCAGCATTCTGATGTCAGGTATCTACTGTAGGTGTTAACTTTGGGTATTGACGCTCACCCTACCTCCTTCTTTCACTATCTCTGTTTCCTTCTTACAGAGCAGTGAGTTCAGTGTTTGTTCACATTGGCAAAAGCTTCCATGCCTACTTCCATTACAAGATTGTCAAAATTCTAAATCCCTGTTGCTGGATGAGATCCACAGGTGGCAGGGCTGCCAACTCATAATATGATTTCCCCCATGGCTACAGTGAGGAGGGGGAAAAACAAGGGGCGATAGAGGGACAGAGAGGAGGAGGAGGAGGAGAGAGGTGATGGAGAAAGAATGGGAGTGGAGGTCTGGAGATCTCCACCAAGAAGTGGTGGATGGTAAACAAGAGATAAATGGGAAAGGGTGAGATGATGAAAGATCGATAGAGGAAGAGCTGGTAGAGGAGAAAAGGAGGCAATTAAATGAAATTAGGAGAACCACAGCTTGTTTTCTTCTAGAAACGCTCTTTCCTTACAAGGGCTTGAAATAAATACATTAAAAAACATCTTCACATCAGATTTAGTGCTTGGAGTCTGGCCGGACCAAAGGATATCTCCCCCTGAGAACACCTTAAAGGAGAAAACCAATTACTGTGAGAGGGCATGAGATTAGAGTGCTGAGACGACCTGAGTTTACAGCAGTGAATTGGAAAGAGAAATCTTTTTTCTTTCTGCCTTTCAACCTGGCACCGCTACGGTTTTTACGAAAGGGTTATTCTGGAAAAGGGTTTAATGGCTCATCCATCTAACAGCCAATAAGCTTAAGACAATCTGCTTGTCTAATTTGGTTTGGGGCCCCAAGAAAACGTAGGAAAGTCTATCCAGATATCCTCTTCCTTTTGCTACTTTAAAAAAAGCTTAGAGTATAAAAATTCTTAACAAATTGCCATATTTATTGTTAATAAATTGTTATTGTTGTTAAAGACTACAGGGGCAGTTCAGGGGCCAATCAGATTTCATCTGGGGCTAGCACCCTCTTGGCAACTGGATCCACCCCTGCCATAAAGAATATTTTGTCCTCTCTACAAGTAAAACTCAACTTTTTTGAGTGTGTGTGTGTGTGTGGGTGGGTGTGGGGGGCAGGCAGCATTTACATTAGGATGAACACGTTCACCAAATTCTCACACAGCTTTTCTCTACCTTGGGAATGAAGCTGATCTCCCATCCATCAAAGGAATAGTAGAAGGGTTGCCAGTGGACCTCCACCGACGTCTCTGTGATGGATTTGAAGACTAAGCCGTCCGGATTGGAGAGATCTGGAGAGTTAGCAACAGACAAATTATTGTTCTTCAGCAACCCACACAGCCCATGAATCACTTCTCAATCTAATGCTGTCTGTGTCCGACACTGGACGTTTCGCTTTTAAATTCCTGTTTGTGTTCTGTTGTCATGTCTTTGTTAATTTTCTTGATTTTGATCATGAGTGATGCTGCCCGGACTCAACAGGTTTTTTTTGCACTTTTATCTATTAAAAAATATTTCAAGCATGAACACAGGTTTCATAACTCACACAAAAACTTTCTTTTTGCTCAGATATGCAATGGTTTAGAAAACCTTGAGGATTATGTCAGTTCAGAACATATAAGACCCACTCACTTTTTGCACAGTTTTCTATGTTGAAGATTTAATTTTAAATGGATGAAAGTGGCATCTGAATACTTTCCGAGCCAGCGTACATATAAAACTTGCACCACTGATTCCATAACTCAGACTTTGATATTGCAAATTGCTAAAATGACTTTTTCCACAGGCAGATGGGTCCCTATGAATCTCCCCGGATGATCAAATACAACATTTTATAATGAAGTTTTGCAAAGTCAACCCAACAATTCATATCATCACTGATAAATGGTTGCATAGGGTTTAAATGCTTCAAATTGTCTTTTACTACGCCAATTTCTATCACTGGAATTAAATTCACTTATCTGTGAAAGGGGGGGGATAATATTACCAGCAGAGACTGCACTATCAAATTGTATCAGCTGTGTATCTGCCAGCTGTATGCGAGGTAATACAGTTTTCTGTTGCCAATGAAAATAGACTATTACTTATTTGTGGACTGGAATAAACTTAAATGATACAAATGGAGGTGATGAAAATGAAGCAATAGAAATGGCCATGATAATGAGCTGATAAATGATCCAGTGATGTGATTCATTTTAAGATGATCTGATTGAAAGAGAATCTGTCCTTTATGCATCACTCATCATTTTCATGATCATTTTTATCTGAATTGGTGCTTACAAACTGAAACACCCACTCATTGAACTGATGACCAGCAGCAATGCTGAGATTTTCATCCTTGGACTTTTATTATCACACTTCACTGAATTTTCCAGGCAGGAAAGTAACTATTTAAATGTTGAATATGTGGTCAAATCAACCATGTTATGCCCTTCTGGCCGACTGCACCTTATAATATTCCCACTACTTTTTTTAGATGTATATTTATCATGCTTTACTTGAATACTTTAGGTTCATCATTATTTTATCTATTCTTTATAAATGTTTTTATATATTTTTTTTCCTTATGTAATTTCTGAGCATGGCTAAAGGGGAGCCTGGGACTCAAGCATTTCATTGCCAGCAACTGCTAAATGTAATTGTTGTGCATATGACAATAAACCCATTTGTGTTAATCTCTGCAAGCTGTTTATTAATTTACCCTTGACCCTGTTGTTTCTAGCTTTTTGATATTATTATTAATTTATTATCTATTTTAATGATAAAATAAATTTTGGACAAGTTTGGTTTCAGATTGTAAATATTGTCTTTGTTGCTGCTTGACTGAGAAGACAACAGTGATGCTCCTGTGCAAATGTAAAATAAACATAAATATTTCATCACTGTCATTATTCGCCTCCAGTTCCCTTATTTTATTTTTTTTACTTCCATCCTTGATGCCACTTTCCTGAAATGATCAATGATATTTTTTATCATATGAATGATAAAACAAAGGACCTGTGGATAGGACCTGAAGATACATCTTCACTACATTTTTCACTATACATCCCTTTTTACTGATCCATTTTTCAATCTATGTGCACTTTTATGACCTGCATTTCTATTAATGAGTCTTGGTTCCGTCCAGCTCTCATATAGGTGAGTTTGCCTTTTTGTGATGAGAAGCATCTGGTTTATGTCTCCATGTCAGGTCTGTTGACTGGGCATGAACCCCACCAAGGAAAGTTGTAACTCATAGGGTGTCAGATGGTATTCATAAATATGCGTGTGAGTGAAAATTGGAAACAAAGCAGATGTTAGAGGCAGGAATCACAACCAGTTGCATAGAGGGGCAGGTGCTGCTCTCACATTGTTGACATTGAAAAACATCTTTGGGATGATTCAACCGAAGAAAAGACAAGTGAGAGACAGGGTGGGTGTGCATCCACATAAAGGACTGATTGCTCGTAAGGATAACGAGAAAGTAAAGTGAGGTATTACATTTATACTTATATTTAGGCCTCTGTGGAAGCATTTTGTTAAGTTAAGGACTGCACTTACACGTCCAAACAGAAATGCTGTCAGGGACACTGATGCTGTTGTTAATGACGGAGAACACGTTGATGTTGTACTCCAGGCCTGCCTCCAGGCCTGAGATGGTACAGGTGGTGGTGTTGCCTGGGATCCTTAACTCTAGTTGCACACCTGAGAGAGAGGCAGGTAATAAGATACACAGACACAGGAATACATCATTAATATGTACTATATGTATATATATATATACTGTATAAAAGGGTGTATTTTTACATATATTAATTCAACTGTTACGTTCCAGGCTTTTAAAGAGCATTGTCACTGTACTTACCTCCAGGGCTGCTTGGTGTATAAGTCACCAGGAAATCTGTGAGTACGACTGAGCCCTCCCACTCCAGGTCGATAGTGCGATCAGTCACCCCTCGGACCATCAAGTTCATGACAGGCGCCACTGTTGAAATAAAAAATAAAAACAATCTGGCTTTAAATATGTATCATCATATATTACATTGTGTGTGTGTGTGTGTGTGTTTGTGTGTGTGTGTGTTATTGTATCAGTAAATGTACCCCCGTGTCAACTTTGTATTAACTTGTTAATGTGTTTTACACAAGTCCTAAAGTTTACAGCTGGCCTTACTTAGCTGAAACATGTGAAAAAGTACTTGTGTTCCAAAGTACAGGCGATTGACTTCGGTAACTCTGTAGCTGCAGTGTTTTGGTGTACCAGATATGGCAGAGTCTGTCCAGTCAGATCCAGTCTATCCATCAAACTGATCCCACATGAGGGTACATGGGAGAAAACTACAACACTGTTTAAAAAAACTACTGGAAACTCAGGACTCACAAATGTGGATGTGTGTTTTAGCCATCGGGCTGTATATTTTAAATTTGCAGCATCAACTCAAAATCTCATTTCATTCTCAAATAGGAAACTCTGCAAAACTCCTGCAAAAGCTAAAACATAGTTGCATGCTTTGGGAAATGACTGAGAGCAGGGCAAAGGTATGAAAATAAACTTAGATTAGAAATAAAAAACCTCTGAGATGGTCCTTCAGGCATTTACCCACTCCTGTGCCCGTTCACTTTAAGATAATCGCACATTGCCCTCTGCAATCTGTATTCTTTGGTATATACAGTATATGCCAGACTGTGCATTCCTGCCAGTAAAAAAGCCAGTGCTTGAGGTAACATTAGTCTTAAGTGTTAACATGAATGGTGAGAACCACTGTCACTCTTTCAGGCTGAAGAGAATATTGTCGAGCCGTAAACCTGAGAGGTGGTGTGGAATTTAAATTCAGAGGGATAAACAAGTGTTTAGAGCTCCCTCTGCCAAAAACAATGAGGAGGAAGAGGAGGAGCAGACAGGTGAAGGACATAAGGAGGGGAGGACGAGACAGAAGGTGCAAACAGTTTTCAGCTGAAGAAATGACGAGATGGATGCACAGAGGACAGAAGTGAACAGGAGAGGAGAGAGAAAAAGAAGTCTAGATGAGATGAAGAGAATAAACAACTGATGCAGAATGCCAGTTCAAAGAGAGAGAGAGCGAGAGAAAGTGGAAAACAGAAGAAAGGAGAGACAAAGAGAGGAGAAAAAGAAGAGCGAGTGTGATGATGTGATTAACGACCTCTCACTCTATCATCATCTCTACGTACATCCTGGGATACAGACTTCACAGCGGCACAGATGACTCCCTGGGGAACATTTGGACACTTAAGTAGCCGTTTCAGCTCCTTCCACACACACTCGACAGATGGCTGCATCCTTTACTATAGCTGGCTCGTTTCAAAACAGTGAACCTGCACTGGGGACAACTCCTGCAGCATTCACTTTCATTTCATCAACTGGACTCGGCTTCGTCAAGTATGTGAAGTAAATAACGAGAGAAAAGAAGGAGTATTAATCCGCGGGGTGGGAGAGGAGTGATTGAATGAGGTCATGCAGGAGGCTGAGGAGATGAGCTTCTTGAAAGTAAAGACATTAACTCAGATAGAGAGCGAAGGGCACACTCTCAAGTGAGCTCTCTGGAAAAGGTTGCCCTGAAAAGCCAGTCGAGACCGTTGAAACTGAAATCTGTGACTTTACACTAGATACAGCAACGACTTGTTTTATCATCTCACTGTTTGTTGCTATGTGAAAGGTCACAGACGGCCAGTTAATCTGAATGCAAATACTTGTTTACTCAATTAAAATCATGGCCCATGAGAGAGGAACAACATAACATCCTATCAACAATATTTGATTGCAGAAAATCAAGAGAGTCCCTGACCTTTGCGGCTGGAAAACTTTTCAATCCCCCAGTTTCTCGTGTGACCTCTTTTATTTTCAGTTTTAACACATTTTGTTCATCAAGCTAAAAGCATGTAAGGATGAGTTTAAAGGACGGATCCACCAACTTCTCCCACCCAGGTAGAAAATAAAAACAAAAGAAAATCTTAAATTCTGCCAAATTTTGAGTTAAACAACATGGTTTCGAGTTAAAATTCATTTTCTGAATAGAGATTTTGCTTATCAGCCATAGTCTTTTAACCATCCCAGGTAGACACAAACCACAAGCCACGATATTGTGAAATGATGCTATATGTTCATGTAGAAGCCACAAGTCTGTGATACCAACTGTGTTTTCAAACAAAACATGTTTTATCTACAATGTCAAGGAAAAATACGACATTACCCACAATCCTCTGGTGGAATTAGCTCTTGAGTGTAATTCCTGTATTTCTCTGACATTGTTGGCAGTAAATCAGTTTCTCCAGATAGTTCCAGTGTTTGTCTATAAAGATTCATCCTCATGTGGCGCATTGCCTTTTGAGTTTTTGGATACCAGCGTCTTTCTAACTAAATCATCTGTTTTTGTTTGATCAGTCTTCTGCATTTTGCTCCTCACCTGTTTTCTGGGCATAACACCTACACCACTGCACACTGCTGATATAACTTGCAAACTAATTCCTGCTGCTCAATGTCTTTGTCTTCTTGTATTCGTCCGACTCGCTGAAGGTTATTCAAGAATCTCGCCGGGAGTCTTAAAGTCTCATTAAGTTTCATCAGTATGCCATCATAGGCAGACGCAGCAAAAATCGACTCAACTAAAACCTTGAGCAAAACGCCAGCTGACAACAGAGGTCAGAGCATCATTAGAGGGCTAACTTACCTGCAGGCTACTTCGTGTGATGGCGTTGCTCTAGTTCATCTGCTCAACCGGCTAAATTTTAACTATCGCTCTAAATTAAATCGGTTTTGAGTTGATATATGATATAAGTTGTCTTGTCTCCTCCATAGTTACAGTCAAAGTGCTTCTGCTCCTTTGCGAGCATCGTTGCTTGTTTGTTGCCTGTAAATATCAGAAAAAAAGATGTCCCTCCGCACCACCTGTTACAGATAATCTATTTCTTTACTGCTAAGACGAAAAAGAAAAAGTGAAGTAGTTGTTTGCAAAGATGTATTGTCACAGTTTCTATTCGGTAAAAAAAAACCTCTGTCACAAGCTTCAACACAATTTTAGTCAAAAGAGTGGGTTGCTCACGATGCTGATGATGAATACTCACCTGTGTTTAGGTGTGTGTGTGTGTGTGTGTGTGTGTGTGTGTGTGTGTGTGTGTGTGTGTGATTGTGCATTTGTAGTAGTTTAATCATCTAATGGCACAATTGATGTAAACAAAGCTCCTCCATTATTTGTCTATATTTATTACAGTTAGGCTTCTAAACTGCTTTTCCACTGTGAGATTTGCTGAAAATAAAAAGCCACTCTGTTCAGATAAACTTGATTGATGCTATGCAGCAGAGTAGGGCAATAAAAAATGGCAATCAAGTAGGACTTTCAGAGCCGCTTCACAACGCTAACGTCCACAGACAAATGTAAATGTCAGTTGTCACCACAGCTGCGTTCGGTGGATGTCAACAAAGGGAGGATGGCGCTGATATTTGCCCGATGCGACATCAGCACTCATGGATGTGATCGTGGAATCCCTCTGCTGTCAAGATTAAATGCCACTATAGTGTGGATATATTTTCATGTGAAAAATACATGGATTGTAATATTTTCCTCCATCCCTGACAATAATTTCCTCTATAGGCGCCATCATTTAAATAAATAAAATCCCATTTCTTAAAGATAAAACACTTAAGCCAGTCACCCTACAGGACTCTGGTATCTGAACTGCTTTGTTTTGTATTCAGCAAGTTGCCCTCTACAAGTATTGGCTATTTAGCCTCTAATTCCAAAGAAATAAGCAATTCACACTCCCTCACTCGGTGTGGATATTAAATCGGGGGGCAGCACTGAGGAACCAGCCTTGGTAATATGATTTGCAGTCCCTGTCTTTCGATCACACGCTCCTCTGTCTGCCTCATTTGTCTCCTTGTTGACAGCTGCTTTAAAATGGAAGAGGAGGATCTGATATTTGGGCGTGGAGAGCTGCCACCAAACAAAGGAGGGTGCGGGCTCAGAAGCCGTCTCAGCTGCAGCGGCTAATGTGGCTCTTCTCCACACCTGCACGATTGTGACTTTTGACAAATGGAGGCTGTTACAGCTTCTGCTGTCCGACAGGTCGCGCGGCCCGCCACTTTCATTTGAAGCACAGACGGGTTTAGTTTTTTCAAGGCCGCTCACAGAAGGTGGAGCTGTGAGTTGTGTTTACAGATGTGTGGACCTCACTTACTACTGCACACACAGACACAAGCCTTGCATTTAGAAGTCCAAACAAAAAAAATGCGTGGCCAGAAGCAGCTATCAGCGATGGAGCAAAATACATGAGATTTACTTTCTAAAACAAAACTTTATTCTGTTTTTAAAATATATTTTGTTGGCTTTTAACCTTTATCCAAAGGACAGCAAGCATGAAATAGGGAAAGAGAGTGGCAAAATGTTCGGTATTAAAATGATCTAGCCTTAAAGGCCACTTAAAGCACTTCACTGTTTTTCACCCATTCATCAAGTGCATCTGTGTGTAACACTTTCTCTGTCGCTCATCAATCACATACTGATGGCACAGCTGTCAGGAGCACTTTCACCTACAGTATCTTGAATGGGGGTGACTGGGATCAAACCACCAACATTCTGGCTAGTGGACGACCCACTCTCCACCCTGAGCCACAGCGGCCTATAAAGCAAGACACGCAGCAAAAGGACTGGGTCAGACCAGAACCAGCAACCATTGTCTGAGTGCTCAAGCCTCTGTAAGTCTTATTTAGCGCTCCATCACACATGAAAGTACCAAAACTTGTGTTATCCCTGAGTTCGACATTACTTGTACCAACAGGTAACTTTAATTTAGTACGTTTTATTTCGTAATGCAATTAGTGGTGAATTGATTAGTCGATTAAATCAGCAAGTAAATGCAAAAAATGGCAAACATTCCTTTTTTTGCTCTAAATTGTGAGTATTTTCTGTTTTGGTCCTTTTTGCCTTATTGTTAAAATAATATCGTTTTTGGAGTGATGGTCGGATAATATAAGGATGTCTGTTTGGGCGTTAGGGACTTGTGGTGGACATAGACATTTTATAAACTAAACCTATTTCATTAGCTGAGTAGTGTTAGAGCCATAACTGTATGTACTTGACAGATGGTGTTTACACAAAGATGCTGCACCACACTGTTAGATTGTAAATCTATAAAAAAATCCAGTCCAAGCATCATATTTATCTAACAATGTGAGAACATCCAAAGCAACATTTAATAAGAGCAGCTCAAACTGTTTGTTGGTGTTGTTAATCAAGTGAATTTTTTTTTTACTTTATGTCTGGTACTCCAACACTGTAAGTAAAGAAGATTATTCTGGACTGTAATCTGGACATTCAAGTGACAGTGCCAGCCACTCATGATCAGAACACCCACGGCTACAGATCATCATTCTTGGTAATGGATGCACTTCATCTAATGGTGCAGCTCTTATTTTGAAAGAGACCTGTAACTCTCCAGAATTCTGCCTATACTCTTCAGAGGGTCACACAGTGTCACTGTGAAACCTGTTTAGGTCGGATGGCTGCTCTGAGTTACTTGGTCGTACTCAGACTGACAGCCAGTGTTCAGGGAGGACAACTTCTTTGCCCAGAGTTTCTGCTTCAGGGACCTGAACCGCAAATGTCGGACAAACTACATTTTGTGCTTGACAACAGTCAGAGGATTAAACTGATGTGAAGAAGAGAAAGTAGTGGCCTACCAGAGTTGCAGTCATCCCCAGCGAAGCCATCCTGGCAGACGCAGAAGCCCTCCTTGCAGACTCCCTTCTTGCTGCAGTTGTTGGCGCAGTACACCAGCGAGCAGTCCTCTCCCACGTACCCGGGCCGGCACTGACACGTCCCGTTGATGCACAGCCCCTGGTCCGAGCAGTCGTTGAGACACCTCCCGACCATGCAATCCTCGCCAGTGAAGGACTCTTCACACACGCACTCCCCGTCTATACACAAACCACGGCCTGAGCAGTCCGAGGGGCACCGTGGCTCTGAGCAGTTGTCGCCCCCAAAGTCGCGGTCGCACACGCACTCCCCTTCGATGCACACGCCCTGGCCGGAGCAGTCATCGGGGCAGCGGGGCTCGGAGCAGTTTTTGCCGCTCCAACCTTCTTCACAGATGCAGCCGCATAAGTCGAAGCTGAAGCTGCCGTGGCCACTGCAGCCTGGGACAAAGTCCAAATGACCTGGGAGAAAAGTACATGTTTATATCTATCATTCAACAAAATAATGCTTTGATTCAAAGACAAACAAAGCTCCAGCACAATCATCCCTTAAAATAATATTCCAGCCTATTGGGCCTTTTTTAAGAAGACAATAATAATACATTAGGAGTAATCTACACTTCAATAAGCTCATCATTTAAATCACTCAAGAATTTAATATCAAATATTTAATCTGCTTCATGTCTACCAGCCTGGATTTTAGACAAAGTATCAAGACATCAATGAAAACCTGTCTCATTTCCATCCTGCCACCGTCCTCCACAGCTGAGCACTTCCTCCTCATTCTGATTCAGATTGTGACTGCTAGAGATAATCATATTCTCACCGCAGAGACGGAGCGTTTTCAGAACATATTTGAATGGGGTGATGGTGTCAAATGAGCAGGTCCTTTAACCACATTATATCCTATAACTCTATCCATCCCAGTTCACTCATTGTACAATGTCAGCATCTTCTGAATAGTGAACAAAGATTTCAGAAGGTTCCTCTGCTCTGAGTCTGAGACTGTGCAGCTGCACAAAGATGTCGCCCTGCAGCATCTGGATTCTGCTGATGTCTTCATTCAATGTGTCAACACATTGCTTTTGTGACAATTTTACCTATAGAGCCGTTTTTTTTCTTGACGCATATATGAGAGTTTTGTCTTTGCCTCCAATAGCCAGATACGAGATAGTATTGTTATATTTCTACCTACCACCAAGGATGAGCCTAGAAATAGCCCATTAAAGTTTTGTGGAGATCTGGACAAAGATGCTCACCTACAAATTATTTTAATCACGTCTTTAACATCTACGGAGGCCGCCATGTTTTTTTACATTAGTCCAGACTGGACAAACTAAACATCTTTTGAGTTTTTATGACAACTGAAGCTGCCACAGGTTCTTTTTCATGTTTGGAAGGGGAGGCTGAGGTGAGGGGTGTTCAGCTGCAACATGCAACTTTAACACTCGACAGCACTAAATTCTACACACTGTAACTTCAAGTGAGAATTTTAGAGCATGATGGAAGTAGCATTAACTGAATATTAACATTATCAAGACCAACTTAGAATACTATATTTTAACATATTACATGTTTTAAAGACTTAAAATTAAGATTACTGTCTTAATGATTATATATTTGTATATTAAATCTTAGATTTTTTTTTGACATTTTACCAAAAAACGTTTTGATGAATTTGAGGGGACAGTTGGGCTTTAGCGGAGGTATGTGCTCTAACGAATATTATTCTGTTCTGTGCAGTATTAACAAAAATTACAAGAATATACATGTTTTCTTCTTCCTAACATAACTCACCCATGGCTGAGCTCTCCCCACAGCATCCGGACCCACACTGAGCTCGGAGCATGGAAACTTCTCTCTCTAGCATCTCCACCCTGGTGGCGAGCTGCTGGATCGTGGTTGTCACTGCACAACCACACGCAGCTTTGGGGATGTTGATGCGGTGAGTGAACGTGACCTGAACAAGTTAAGCAGTGTGAACATACAGTCCTAAACATCTCTTCTTCTACATCCTTGGATGACCAAACAATTTGAGATTATTCGGATACATGTTTTATTTCACCATATCAGACTGACACAGACATTCATGGGTGTCCCGGGTGCTGATCTCCATCACAACAGCAGCATTTAAATAATCCCTTCCTCTTTAGCTGTTTATCTACAAAGTAAAAGCACAACGTTCATTTTGTTGATGTAATCCTCTTGCTTTTATTTAAAAAAATTGTGAACTTGGGTCTGACGATTGTGTCGATTGAACAGACAAAGCAGTAGTTTAGTTTATTTTGAGGAGAAGAAATATGCATTGAACTAGACCCTCTGCATCTGGGACCACCTTCTGGTTCTCTAATCACCAGACAACATAAACCACCAGTTCAAACACTCGACCGAAGCCTTATCGACTCATAAAGCAACTAATCAACTAATCGTCTAAAGAAACCTCTCAAACCTGCCAGGGGCAAAAGGTGGGCACCTACCATCCAGCTAGACTGGGTCCTGAGTGAGTGGTTTGACAATTTGCTGTATGTGTCCTTTGATTGCTTTTGGAATCAATGTTACCTGCTTGCTGAAGGATGAACAACGTAGTTTGTACAGGCATCTCCAGAGGGGGTGATTAAAATAGCTCTTCATCATAAACTTCTAAATGTAAATCACTGTGTGTGATGAAACAGATGTTGTCCTTCAGAAATGTTTCTGTGCCGCATGAGACTCAGTTCAATTCTCTTGAGCTTTCATCCCTCGAGCTTTTGTCTCGGTTTGAATTTCACTGAATTTTATTGTGGTTTTATTCAAAGTGTAAAGCACCTTTTAAGGAAAAGTGTGACACAAATAAAGTGTATTATTATTATTAATATTATTTTTATTTTGTCTTGTCACATATACACTCAAAGTAGCTGACTACCTCTTGCCTCTCACAGGCGTAAAGCTTTTAGAGGTGTCTAACATTGAGCATGTCATTTACATACTCAGCTTTAGTTGGACAGTTGTGTTCTTCTGTGGCCGTGAAACTGGCACACAACAAAAGAGTTCACTTTCTGTGTGATGCATTTCCACACTATTTTCTTTTTCAAATCCTGGGAGCTCGCTAAAGTTATTTGACACTGGCAGCTGGCTGTCGGCGGCAGCGACGATTGGCCTATTCCCTAATTATCTGAAGTGATTTACATCGTTCAGCAGAAAACAGGTGTGCTCCTGTTTCAAGAGTCAAAACAAGTGCAACTAGTCATCCGCATGAATATTTCTCAGTTAAAAAAACCCCATCTACCTGGCTGTCAGCATCCAGTGTCTGCTCCATGTATTCTGATGGTCCAGCTGGATCTATTGGACCCTCAACAGAAGGTCTGGACCCCAGCTCAGCACGTGAATCTTTTAAATGAGGAGAATGTGTCTTGAAAACTTGCTGGACAGCAGATGACATAGCTACAGTGAGTTTGAACCTAAAACACTCAATGAATCAGGGGAGCTCACCATCACCCGGGACAGGTGGTGCTGAGGCGTCCAGGTCGACAGAGCACAGAGACTCTAAGGGGACATTTATATTGTATACATGGTTAAAGACCACTGGTTGCTCCAGCAGTGTCTGGTTGGTGGAGGAAGCGGGCTGATCCCCCCCGGGGGTCTGTCTCCTCACTCTGGTGGTACGAACCAGCTTGTTGTCTCCTGATGGAGCAGCGTGAGTGGCCTCCTGGAGAGAGAGAGAGAGAGAGAGGGAAAATAGGAGGGAATGTAGTCTCAAAGGTTTGAAGCTGTTTTTGTGCACTCAAACTCGTGTTCACAGAATGATAGAGTGAAGACTGAGAAAAGAGCCCAGGGGACACAAAACAAGATGACACTAATATAAAGTCTATGAAGGATTCTCTCACTGGCTGCAGTGCTGACATTACAATTTTCACAATAAAAATGTGGGTCATTTTCAAAGGACTGAGCCATCAATTCAGTGAGATGGTCTTTCTCTGTGGCTGGCTGAGAACTCAGACAATTTCTAATATTAAGATATTTCAATAGCAGAATTATATAGATTATATTATGTATATACAATGAAAATATTAACATGAAAATGTGTAGTTTTTAAAAATATCTGATAAAGAAAGTTACTATATGGGGATTTCTAGCACGACCTGCATGAAACAGACCATTTGTTATAACCATTTCCCAAATAGATGTTGAAACAATATGTGTAGGGATGCAGTGATACCACCAAGGTTTGGAGGGTGTGTCTTGTTTTATTTTCTCTTTCAAATCCAAAAGCAACAAACTGTAAAACGGGCAACTGCAACTCCACCATTTTGGGTGTTTGCAAAGAGTCGGGCTGCATTACACATGTGGTGTTCAATGAGAAGTCTCACGTTTTGTAAGACTTGTATTGTTGCAATAAGCAGGTAGAAATGAGAGTCTTGAAGCTTTAATAAGTAGAGTGAGGGGCAACAAGCAGAGAAGGGACAACAAGCTGCTGCAGGGTTGCGAGTGAGACTTCTTGTTGAGTGAGACGTGTAATATTGCCAGACTCGTAGCAAAGACCCAGAATAACACAGCCTTTGAGCCTGTTATTGGTGGAAAATAGCACTTTAAGTGTCTATTTTATGAGATGTCGCATAAGATTACAGTGTAACCACTGTAGCCGATAGAGGTGATCTACTGGAGTTTTAGTAAGTACCATTCATTGCATACCCACATTTATAAACATATATAAAATCAAACAAGGTACATACAAATAAATGCTGCAATTCACCTTTCAGAGCACACTCAATATTGTTTTATTATTATTACAAGATTCCTGTATTAAAATGGTTCAGCCTGAAAAGTGATGTGAGTAATTGATGCTTTTATAAAATTGTCACTGGATGGAAATGAGAAGCTTCTGTCTGAAATAGAAAACATGTTGTTTCACTTACAGGTTTAGAGAAGTGATTATATATAATGATGGTCTAGTTTCTAGAACAGTTGTGGAGGAAAATGACAAATATGAAATATAAAAAAACACACAGAAAGCACGCAGTTAGTCTGAGACATCACTCCTCTTTGATACTCTAACCAGCCAGGACAGAATTGGAGTGGATTTGTGCCCAGAGTCAAGTGATTAACGCGGCTGCCAAAAATGGTGGATTGCAAATAAATAATGAATATGAAAAAGGCCCTGGGCAGCTGCACTCAGTGAGAGGGGAAAAAATGGACAGGGCCATTTTGTCTGAACTCATTTTACCTGTAGAGCAAGAGACAGAGCCAAAACCAGGATCCAGCTTGTTACGGGTGCTGTGGCCCCACGGTGCTGCGGTGTAAGTGGCATGCTGCGACGAAACCTCACCACTCCTTTCCACACACACCTGTGGAGGAGGGAGACGTAGCAGAAAGGTGGAGGAAGAAGAGAAAGAGAGAGAGGCGTTAAGAGTTAAATGAAAAAAACAGTCAGTGGTGGTGCCTGTGTTGCATGAAAATGTGTTTTCTGAATACAGACTGTGGCCGTTCCAGGGTAGTTTTTAGTGTGCCAACACGGGAACTTTCATGCATGTGTGTCTATTGAATGTGTGTTTCTGTGCACATGGGAAGTCAGCTTATCCCCTGTAAACGGTAAATAAATTCCTCTGATCCGATTATGGATTATGGAGCCGACTTGGAACCTCTGAATGTATTTCACTGCTCAATACCAAATATTTGATCTTTCCACTCTGGAGGAATATAAAAATGTAGCTTAGGGAGAGTTGATAGATGGATTTCAGCAGAGACGTGGTTTGAGTGATGCCGCTGTAATCCCCTCTCCATTGAGTGGGGGAAGTGAGAACAGGGACTCACTGAAATAAAAAGCTGCACAGAGGAAAAAGTGATGTGGATGCTTCAAGCAGACTGCCACATGTCAGAACAGACAGGAGCGTGCAGAGCTTTTAAAGCAGCTATAGATTTTTTTTTTTTTTTTGCAGCTGACTATCACACATCCTAATCAAGCTAAGAAGGTGAGTTATCACACAACAGGAGCTAACGCAATTATATCAGTACAATGGGCGTGTGAGTTCATGTGTGTTTTGCAGTCATTTAAAGCACAACTCCCTTGAGTTTCAACATGTTCATGTCGGAGACTGTGTGGGCAGAAGATTTAGTACGAGACAAAAAGTAGAAGAGAAAAAAACATCTCACAGATGAGCCTGTGTAGTCTGTATTCACCGGCTCCTTTTATCACAACAATGCATCTCATGTTGGTGAATGAGGGCTATTGCACTCAGATGGCGCCTTTTGTGAGAGCCAGATGGAAGTCCTCTTATCACACCTAACTGGCTCGGGCTGTTTTGATCATTTATGGAGAAAATGTTGAAACATCAGTGTATTTGCACATAAATGAGAAACTGAGAGAGAAAGAGAATCCCAGTGTGTGTTTTGCTCTCATTCAAAACAAAATGTTTTGATGCATATTCAATGAAGATTTCTCACACTGCCGCACTTTTCAAAAGATCTTTCTGCTCCCACCTGAGCAACACCCTTCACTTTGAGACAAAGTCAAACAACCTGTGTATGTGCACGTGTGTGTGTGTGTGTGTGTGTTGTACAGTATGTGTGGTAAATACAAACACAAAGAGTGTTGACACAGGCAGTATATCATGAAAGAGCCATTGGGGAAAGATAGTCAGTCATATGTTATCTACTGCACGCCTCGCTTCAGCCAGTGTGGCTAATGTTTTTAAAAATGACTTTGGCCTTGCTGGATTCAACTGCCAACCAATGCCACCCGCCCCACAGCTAAAGAGATAGAAAGTGTTCTGCTGTGAAACCTCACCTCAAGCATGCAGCTGCTGCCCGACGCGACACAAGCCGTTTAACTGCAGAATTCACCAACAAATGAGAATGTGCAGATGGTGCCGCAGTGAGACGGACAAAACCAACTGGAACCACCATGTTCAAAGCCATTAGCCATAGAGTGTCCCTTTGGCAACGTGTCTGTTTCACTTCCTGCAACAAGCCATTGCATTATACATTTAAAAACACTTTGTCAACTTGGACAAACAATTTTAAGACAAACTATCCAGTAATCTGTCTATACTCAATAATTCCAGAAATCTCTGTCTCTCTGTCTGTATGTGGCTCACGTATCTTGAGAATTTATTGTCTTCACGCATCCAAGGAAGTGCCATGTTGAATTAAATGGGATTTGGACACGCAAACAGGTGACATGTAGCATCAGTGGTTTAATGTAAAAGACATTGTTGATTACGTTATGGACACCAGCAAAAACAACGACTTCTCCACGTACTGAATAAACAGGGAAGCAGCTATTTGTGCAGCCATATCTATTGTATATACCTGCAGGGCCCTTTTCTCATCCGACGTTCTCTACACTGACTACAACACTCTATAGGAAACTAGCAATTAACTGGATTTATGTATTGTAGTGTGCCAAGTGAAGACTCACTATCTTGAGTAGTAAATTATGCTGTTCTTTCCAGGAAATGTATTGGATGACATGTGCGGCACAGTGGTGCTGGTCACACAGGGTTCCGAATTTGAACCTGAAGGTCGGTGTGAGTGAGCACTCTGAGTACTCTGGCTTCCTCCAACACTCCAAGCATATGCAGTTTAGTTTGATTGGAGATTTGAAATCGCGTGAAGGTGTCAGCTGGGATCGTTTCCAGTACCCTTATGACCCTTTATGGAAAAGTAGTAATGATAATAGATGGATGGATTCAATTACAGAATCACACAGCCTCAAAACAGACCTGCTTGTTAAACATCTGTGTTCAAGATATGCAGGTAAATAAATCATCAGTGCTCTCTGGTGGACCAACTGAAGTATTTAATGGTAAAACTTGTTCTAAATATATAATGTGAGAACATTTTGAGTGATATGATCAAAAGCTCTCGCACAGCTACGGAAGAGAATTTAATCGTCAGCAATATATTTCTTGGATAAAATTTCTTATTATGTAAGAGCCAAAATATAATGTTAGTTATTTCTGATTTGTGATCAGTTTCACTTCTTTCTTTGTTTTATTCTGTTGCGATTTTACATGTTACATGTGTGTTTTATTGTTGTTTTAAGAAGTTTATCTTTAAAAGGTATTTTGATTGTATTTATTTATTGATCCATCCAAAATGATCAATTTAATAACTAAGCAAAGAATACATTTATATTCATAGTGTGCATATGCATATATATGTGTGTGTGTGTATATATATATATATATATATATATATATATAAAAGCACAGGGCGCCAGTGGCGGACATGCCAATTCTGGTGTTCTATAGCAAATGCCAATCGAGCTCCACGGTGCTGGGCAGTGAGCACAGGGCTCACTACAGGACGTCGCGCCCTGAGGCCACCCTCATGAAGTCTGTTTCTGACTGTTTGGGCAGAGACATTCACACCAGTGGCCTGCTGGAGGTCATTCTGTAGCGCTCGGGCAGTGCTCAACCTGTTCCTCCTTGCACAAAGCAGCAGATATCAGTCCTGCTGATGGGTTGAGGACCTTCTACGGCCCTGTCCAGCTCTCCTAGAGTAACTGTCTCCTGGAATCTCCTCCATGTTCTGGAGATTATGCTGGGAGACACATCAAATCTCCCTGCAACGGCACGCATGGATGTGCCATCCTGGAGGAGTTGGACAATCTGTGCAACTTCTGTAGGGTTAAGAAATCACTTCATGCTCCCAGTAGAGATAATGACTCTAGCTAAAGCCAACACTAATGGAAAACCAGTCRAAGTGATCAAGAGGGAGAAACTTGAAATGGCCTCCACATGCAAAACCACTCCTATTTTGGGGGTCGTCTCATTGTTGCCCCTCTAGTGCACCTGTTGTTAATTCCATCAACACCAATGCAGCTGAAACTGATTAACAACCCCCTCTGCTACTTAACTGACCAGATAATTATCAAAAAAGTGCAATTGAATTCATGCCATACCCTGATAAAAAGTGTTCCTTTAATTTTTTTGTGCAGTGTATATGCTATTAGCAAAGATTGGCTATAACAGACATGGAGGTAAATCAGTCATGCTTTTCTATTCCAGTTTCTGAGATTTCTTTTCTACAGCAACTGCATGAAGGTAAAAATAGATGCATCATGTGAGAAAAGTTTCACGCACACTTTTTATCTCACTATAGACAGAGGAGGTAAAGGTCTTCAGTATGCATGCACAGTGTCTTTCTTTAAGCCATGCTCTCCCAAATACAGACCTGCACATAAAGACAAGTCTATATATAGTTTTATACTAGCAGCAATAAACACTTTCAAAGTCACATTAGATTGAGCTTTAGTCATCGGGTCATGGTGCAGGCCAAGCATTCCCACACACAGCGAGAGGTGGGTTTTCATTGAGGCTCAATTACGGACAGACCTTCTCGCTCAGAGTGAAATAGATGACATGCTTTAGGCACTCCACACTGGCTTAATTCACTCACACACACTTAAATGAACACATGAGCAAACACAAGACCAAGTGCACTGACACGTCTTTAGATTTCAAATACACTTGAATGCACATCCAAAGACATCATCATTACCGCGAATATGCACCAATATGTGTGTACCGACATTGAAAAACAAACCGAGTGTCATGGATTAAGTGGTTCCTGCCTTTCATTTTGATAACAGTCCACCTGCCTTCATGGTAATTAGATCTGTCAACATGTCACTTCTCAATCTAGAGAAGCTTTTTAAAGCTGTAAAAAAAACCTTTGTGGAGTAATTTAGCTGCATGGCAAATAGAGTGTACAAGCTAAATATTCTGGGCACGTAGAAAAATATAAATTTAATGACTTTGAGAAAGCTCTGAAACAGTTCTGTCACTTTGTGTATTTCCTGGTGATTTTCTTGGCAGAATTTATATGAGTTCACCCCCTGCCAGGCAAAAATGAAACTGCCTGTTCCAGTTATAATTAAAACCATCAACGCACTTTATGCCATGTCACAAAGGAAAAAGCTAAAATATTCAGCCTACACAAAGAAGGCCACTCTGTAGAATATCCCAGCTGTAAAAAAGATTCACAAAAGAACCCATATGCTTAAAAGTTTGATGTACCCAAAAAAAAAAAAGTACTTTGATCTCGTCTTCCTAACTTGTTTCATCTTTGTTAGATTACACCTCTCTCTCTAAAGGGAGTTTTAGATTTTTTTTGTCTTGAATATTTGACAATATCTCTCTCTTTCATCCACAATGAGTTTTTTTATGGGCAGGTGAGATGATACATGAACAGAAAATTACTAATCAAAGTCATTTCATCAGCTACAGTACTGTATATTGGCTATATAGTTAAGAACATTTTATTATAAAGCTAGAATGTGAATTTTTTTTACAATGTTAATATATATAATTAGCATTGTAATTTTTATTACATTATACCT